CTGCCACAATTCAAACAATAATCAGTTTTCCTGTTTTTGCAACCAAAGTGGATAACCTCACATTTATCCACATTATATTGCGTTTGTCAAGTATTTGCCCACTCAGCCAGTCTGACTAAGTCACTCCGCAGCCTCTTAGCATCCTTTCACAGCATGCAGTACCTCCCAGCTTTGTGTTGTCTGCAAATTTGAAGATATTGCATTCAATTCCTTCGTCCAAATCGTTAATGCATATTCTGAACAGCTGGGGTCCGAGCACTGAACCCTGCGGCACCCCACTCGTCACTGCCTGCCACTCTGAAAAGGATCTGTTTATCATCCTATTTGTGTGAGAATTATAGTTCAAGCTTCAGTTGAAGTTGATGGCATGACAAACTTCTCCTACCAGCAACTGGTTTCCCATTTGACATTTAGGCTGGAGTTATATTTGTTGACAGCTGTATATCAGAAGAACGTAGTAATAAGGTATGGTGGTGCAATGGATGTTGACAAAGTCCAGAGATCAGAGTTCAAATTCCTTAACACAATTAGTCAAAATAACCCTTGCCTCACGGCTGACTACTTTTAGATTTTTGGGGCTACATTTTTGTTTTCAGAAGCTACTTTGTCATTCTTGTTAACTCGTTTATAGAGTCATACAGCACAGAAACAGACACTTTGGTCCAACCAATTCATGTTGAACGTAATTCCAAAGTACACTAGACCCACCTGCCTGGTCCTGGCCCATATCCCTCCAAACCCTTCCTATTGATATATCCGCCCAAATGTCTTTTAAATGTTGCAATTGTACCCGCATCCACCACTTCATTAGGAAGTTCGTTCCACACGCGAACCACTCTAAAAAATTAGCCTCATGTCATTTTTTAAAATCTCTCCTCCTCTCACTGAAGCACCTGAAGCCATTTAGGATTGAGGATCTAAAAGGAACGTAGCAGTAGTAATGACAATGTAGTCCAAGCGATTAGGTTTCTCTGCAGCCAAGAACGAGAGTCCAGACAGTACAGCTGCCTGCAAACTGACAAACTTCAGAAAATCTGCTCTAGGTTGGCGAGTAACTTCCATTGGGAGGATCTGATAGTTGGTAGGTTTCAAAGACACAGGCATAACTAGAAAAAGAGGTGCTGCTGAAGGGGATGAGCAGCTACGGGTTAAATTAGAAAAGGAGAACCTCGAGGGTAATTTTAGTGCTAGTGCAATGCTAGGTATGCTGGCTGTATGTCCCAAATACTGACAGATTATGCCAAACAGCACGTTCCTTCAGCAGTTCATAACAAGCAAGATATTGATCACACCCAACCAATAAATGTTTTTGAACATGCAAACAACAGTGTCCAACATTAGATATTGCAGTTGCAAAACATTTCCTGGATAATCCTGAGCACACAAAGAATCACACTAACAACCAATTTAGGATTATCAACTGGGCTCTCGGCTCTCAGTGTGGACGACTTGGGTCTACTAAAAGCTACATATATCAGTATACAAGGTTCCGATTCTTGTAAACAGAAAGAAAATGTACACCCCTGAGCCTGTTTCAATGCAACAAAATAGATTTCATCCATTTGCAGGTGTATTTCTCAGGACAATATTATAACTAGAATCAGAGTCAAAGTCAATCTGCTTGGTTTCAAATATAAAAGGCTGGCAGTTAACGGTCGATCATCAAAATTGTGTGCATTCTCTGTGATAATGGTTCTACTGATCATAGTCCACTTGTCAACTAATCAGCACATTCCTCTCTCACAATATTAATGTTGGCTTTCTTCTTGAATTGATATTCTTGCAAATTGTCCTGATGAGTGCAAGATGAAAAGCCTCCAAAAACTATTTGTAGCAACACTCAAATGTAGAACTGCTAAGCGTGCTGATGAGACAAAGATAGATAGGAAAGTAAATTGTGAAGGTGTAAGGATATAGATGGACAAATGAAAATAGATTAACAACATTGGCAGATGTAATATAATGTAGGAAAATGTGAACTTGTCTACTTTAACATGAAGAACAGAAAAGCAACGTATTATTCAAAATGGAGAAAAATTGTAGAACATGGAGGTACTGAGGGATCTGAATGTCCTGGTGCATTAATCAACAAGTTTGATTCAAATAAAGCAAAGGATCATGATGGCAAATGGAATGCTGCTATGTATTGCAAGGGGAATGTAAGTAAAGTGCAATGCTACAGTTATACAAAACATTGGTGAAACCATACCTGGAGTACCGTGTATCGATTGAGGCTCCATATATACAAAATAATATGAAATGATCTTCAATTGCCTTAGCAGCAGTTCAGAGTAGATTGACTAATACCTGAGATAAGTGGGTTATCTTATCAGGAAATGTTGGACAAGCTAGGCCTAAAATCTACTGGCATGTAGAAGAATAAGAGGTGACCTTTCTGAAACAGAAGGTCATTCGGCCACTTGACAAGGTGGATATTGAATAAGCGTGTCCCTTTTGGGCCAGAACTCGAGGCCACAGCTTAAAAATAAAGGGGGCTTCCATTTAAGGTGGTGTGGAAGCGAATTCATTTTTTTTTTCCTGTGAATAGGGTGTCTTTGTAGCTTTCTTTTCTACAGATCAGTAGATGCAGAGCTCTGGAATATTTTTAAGGCAGAAGTAGCTAGATCCTAGAGCAAAAACAGAATGAAAAGTTATCAAAGGTAGGCATGAATGTGGAGTTGAGATGACTGAGTTAAACAACTACAACTATCTTCCTTTGTGCCAGATATAATTCCAACCAGCGGAGAGCTTTTCCTCTGATTCCCATGGAGTCCAGTGGCGCTTGGGCTCCTTGATTCCACACTCAGTCAAATGCAGCCTTGATGACTTCACAAAACAGGAAGAGGATGCTGACATTCTACATGGGGAGGACAATGAAAGGGTAGATGATGTAAACAGTGGCAGAGTTTAGCACCTTTGGAAGTGAATAAGTCACACGAGAAAAATGTAACCCACACTAAAAGGCAGGAACAGCAGAGGCTCTATCAATCAGAAACTCAACATATAGGTGTGATACCAGAGGATTGCTAACTGTAGGTATTTTTAATCATCCTGTTCAGGTGGCACTTGAACCTGGGCCTTCTGGCCCAGAAGTAGGAACACTACCAGGAGACCTTCAAGCCACAATGTACCATTGTTTAAAAAGGGAGGAAAGAAATAGGCTGAGTAATTACAGGCCAGTTAGCTTAACATAAGTGATGGACAAAATACAAATACAAAATTCTTTGAGGGGATAAAGAAAGATCATGTCTGAATGGCTTGGTTGAAATTTTGGAGGAGACAAGTTGGTAAGGTAGAGGGCTAGGTGTAGTCTACATGGATTTTAGCAAGGCTTTTGACAATGTCTCACAATGGCATTCTGACTGGCCAGAAAAAGCGAGAGTCCATGGGATTCAAAGGCAAGTTGGATTTAAGGTTGCTTTCTGCCACTGAGTGGAAGTAGGTTTTTGTGACTGGAAGGCTGGTTCCAAAAGGTTCTGGGGTTTGGAGGTGCACAGGGCTCAGTATCAGATCTCGCTGTTTCTGTACATATCAATTAGTTAAACTGAAGTTCCCAAATTGTACAAAATTTGGTCACCACGAAGAAAATTGTAGACTCCAGGATGATGTTCACAGGCTGGTCAGATGGGTAAAAAGGTGACAAAATTGAATTCAACTTGAGGAAGTATGGAGAGATTTGGTGGGGAGTGCAAACAAATCAAGGGTATGCACAATAAGTAGTAGGATACTGAGAACTATAGGAAAACAGAATGACCTTGGAGTGCACAGATCTCTGAAGTCAGCATGACAGATGGTTAAGTTGATTAGGAAGGCATACAGGGTACTATCCTTTATTAGCTGAAGCATATCATGCAGTGCAAGGAGGATATGCCAGAACTGTATAAAATATTAGTTAAGCTACAGCTGGAATTTTATATACACGGAAGCAGCAGGGTACTGGTAATGTCTTTGGACTAGCAATCCAGAACCAAAGGCTAGTGTTATGGGTTCACATCACACCATGGCAGATGCTGAAATTTGAATTTAATAACATTCAAAGATCACAAGTACAGCAGATACATCGGAACACCACCTGAAGCCACTCATTGTCCTCACTTGGAAATATGTCACTGTTTCTTTACTATTGCTGGGTTAAAATCATGGAATTCTCTCCCAAAGGTCATTTTGGGTCAACTTACAGCACGGGATTGCAGTGGCTCAAGGCAGCAACTCACCATCACCTTTTCAATGGCAACTAGGGATAGGCAATAAATGTTGGCCAGCCAACGATGTCCCTGTCCCACGACCAAAAAAATTGGTCTAATAGCATGATGCAAAAACAACCTAGTTCACTGATGCTATTTAGGAAGGAAATCTGCCAGGCTTACATGTGATTGAAGATCCACAGCGCTGTGGTCGACTCTTCACAATTAAGTGACATCCACATCATGGTCAAAACATTGTAAGGAGGACATGATGCACGAAATCAGTAGATCTCCGAGAACGTTGCCAGGATAGGGAATTTTAGCTGAGCAAAGACTGGAGAGGCCGGGAGTCTTTTCTTTGGACCAGAGGAAGCTGAAGAGCGATTTAATTAGGATGTATAAAAATACAAGGACGGATTGGAAAGATAGGATGTGCATGAGCAGAGATGTCAAGATCCAGCGGGCAAATATTTAAACTAATTGGCTGAAGGATTTGAGGGGAGTTGAGCAATTGTCCTTCCACCAAGAGGGTGGTAGAGATCTGGAACTCACTGCCTGAAAAGGATGATAGAGGAAGAAGCCTTAATCATATTTAACAAATACTGGAATATGCACAGCAAATGCCATAACCTATTGGACTGCAGAGCAAGAGCAGGAAGGTGGAATTAGGCTGGATTACTCTTCTTCAACCTGTACAGTTACAATGGGCCAAATATTCTGTAATGTTTCCATATTAATCAACTGTTCAGAAATACCCTGATCAATAATGGGATGCAAGACAGAAACAAACTCAACATGTAAAACTTAGGAACTTACCTTGTAGTTTCTTCAAAACAGCAACTTCCATTTTGAGAACCTGCTTCGGTTGTTGGGCTGACTCCACTTTAAGAGCAACATTCTCCTGAGTCAGAAAGTCTATGGCTTCATAGATTTCTCCAAAGCCCCCACCTCCTATCTTTTTCAACTGTAAGATAAAGAAAAAAAAACATTAATTACTATAAATACTCAAAAACACATTGCAAGTTGGATATCTATTGCTGAACACAATCATGAAATTCACTGGTCATCAATTGTACCTAAAGCTGCAAAGTCACCAAATAGTTACAACTTGTACATGTTAAGCTAAATAAACCAAAAGATGTACAAGATTAATAAATCTTAAATTAGCATTGTACACTTAGAACTCCATCAACAGCCATAAGAATAATCAAAACTGCTTCACAGAAAGAGACAACATGGATGCTGAACTATACCAGGAGGTATCAAGAGTGTTACTAAATGTTTGCTCAGAAACAAGTCATGGAGGCATTTTAAAGAGAGGATGAAAGTATGAAATTGAATGCTAGAGGACCAGGATCCAATATATAAGCCGGTGAGATCAGGAGTGGGGCTTGTTTCATCACAGATAAAAGAAAATACTCATCACTATAAACATCTTTCCTCTGGTGCATGCCTCTTCTTCGCAGAGATTGCCTTGCGCGTATTCTAATACAAACCTACAACTAATGGATCAGAAATTACAGCATAAAATTGCGTTCTGAATTCAGCCCGCTGGGCATGCTGGTGTTCACACTCTAACTTCTTAAGAAATTGGTTCACAGGACCAATGTGTTCACCGGCGAGGAAAACAATTATTGGCCATTCCTAACTGCTCACAATGTAGTAGTGGTGAGTTCCCTTTTCGAGTCAGGTAGTCTGCGTTGTAGGTACACCCATACACCCAAAGTCAAGTGTAAGGCACAGTGTACTGGATGTGATTCGATTGGTCACACTACTAGGCTTTAAGCAAAACACACTTCATTTTACACAACAGTTAAACACATTAAAAAAATTGACAAACTTTAACTTTATTAAAAGACTTAATAAAAATAATATAATTATTAACTACGATTCATCAACTGTTTCAAAATAGCAGCATCCCTTAAACCCTTGGCAAGGCAATTTAACAAAACAGTTTCAGTTTCATGTACTGTCTTCTCACTCTCGCAGCAGAGAAAGAACTCAAACTTTAATTTGTAGAGAGCTGTATCTACAGCTTTAACTCCAGAAACTGCAACTTTCACAGCTGAAAGATAAAACTGAAACCCTGGATCTGAGAGCCTGACTGCACCCATTCATGATTCTTTTGTCTAATTTTTTTTTTTAAAAACCCTATGCTATTTACTCTGCTTTCCATGGAGCAGACACCTCTGCACTAGACTCAACACCACTCTTCAATAGGGGACCAAGAGAAAACAAATGCCTCTTAAAGGCACAGATCGTCACACGATGCTCAATCCTCTTCAGAAATTCAGTGAAGTCAGGGAAATTAAATCTGGGTCCTTGACTCAGATTTTGCTCCACCACACAGCAATTGCAGCTGGAATTATACTTCCTTGAATACAGTATAAAAAATGTATTGTGTAAATAACTTTATAAAATCCCAATAAAGAAATCTAATATGAAAGAAATAACACTCTCGGCAATGAAAATGCCTCCTGGGTTGCCAGGACATCATAAGCCATTATCTCAGCCAATGAATTGTTTCATGCACAGGCACATGCTTAAGTTCAATAAGGAAGCAATGATATGACCCATATGTAAACCAACTGAGTAAAGTCATGGGAAGACTTAATGGGTTTCTGACAGAATAGGAAGGATTACATAAATAGCTGCTTCTTTCTAATGGAAAATTAAATAAGTAATTGACATAAGACCCATAGAAAGTGTGTGTCTAAAACAGGCTGTCAATGGCAAAGAATCACTTGAGGGAAAACAGCTTTTCAAGGACCAATTCTGACTCTAGCCTAACATGTTGGGCAGCACGGTAGCTCAGTGGTTAGCACTACTACCTCTCAGTACCAGGGACCAGGTTTGATTCCACCCTCGGGCGGCTATCTGTGTGGAGCTTATATATTCAAAATTTCCTCCAGGTGCTCCGGTTTCCTCTCTCAGTCCAAAGATGTGCAGGCCAGGTGGACTGGCCATGCTCAATTGCCCCTTTGTGTCCAGAATGTGCAGGCAAGGCGTATTAGCCATAGGAAATACAGGGTTTACAGAGATATGGTCTGGGTGGGATGCTCTTCAGGAGGTTGGTGTGGACTCGAAGGGCCGAATTGCCTAATTCCACACCATAGGGATTCGATGATGCCGTTAGCTCAATATGACCAGATTGCGAAGAGCTTATTAAAACTGAAACTAGGTAAATCAGTAATACTTTGGCTAATTCATGAAAACAGAACAGAAGAGCCTGCTGCCGCCGCCACCACCGACCAATTCTTCTGCATCTCTGATCAATTTATTTAATTTTAAGATCAGCAATGTCAGCTGCAAAGATCAGCAACTCCTGCTTCACCCATCTATTCAGCCCAGTCAGAACCGGTAAACTGTTTTGGGTTTTTTTTGACTACTTAGTGTGATGCATCACACTGAGATTGCTGCTTAATAAATTGCTTTGAAATCACCTACAATTTGGAGCCCCTTTTTGGGTCATCTATGACTCCCAGCCCAATACTAAAAGTAACATCGTTCTCAATGTGTGGTTGTTGCAGAATAAAAAGCTGAGAATTGAAAACATGGATTTCAAGTTAGGCACACTGTTCATTTACATGGTGTGTATTACACAACCTCGAGTTTCACTTTGTTAAGTAAATTCAATGAGTTGTCTCAAATATTCAGCTTTCCTCGATTTGATTTGAATCATTGTTGTCATGTGTACCTAAGTACAGTGAAAAGTTTTGGTTTGAGTGAAGTACAGGCAGATCATAACATATAATGATGTATAGATCATAGTATGCCTTGCTCTGTTCAATCACCCTAAGTGTTATGGCTGCACAGGAGGTCTACAAAAGCAAGATCAACATTAGATTTGAAATTTGAGAGGTCCATTCAGTAGTCTAATAACAGTAGGGAAGTTGTTCTTGAACCTGTTGGTACTTGTGTTTAAGCTTTTGTATCTTCTGCCTGTTGGAAGGGATTATAACTGGGGTGGGAGCGTTGATGACGAGGTTGGTCGCCTTTCCGCAGCAACGAGAAGTGTAGATGGAGTCAGTGGATGAGGTTGGCTTGCATTCACAGCTTTGTAGTTTCACACAGTCCTGGGCAGAGAAGCTGCCATACCATGCTGTGATGCACAAGATAGAAAGCATTCTACGCTGCAGCTATAAACGTTGGTGGGGATCCTTATGGAGATGTGGAATTTCCTTAGCCTCCTGAGGAAAAGAAGCACTGCTGTGCCTTCTTGACCATTGAATCTACATGGGTGGTCCAGGACAGATTGTTGGTTATTTTCATTCCTCAGAACTTGATGCTCTTATCCCTCTTCACCTCAGCTTCTTGGATGTAGATAGGGTTGTGTCCTCCTCCTTTCTTCCTCAAGTTGTTGACCAATTCTTTAGTTTTGCTGACATTGAGGGAGAGATTGTTATCTTTGCTCCATGACACCAAGCATCCTGTATTCTGCCTTGTCATTGTTAGATATCCGGCCTACAACAGTGGTGTCGTCAGTGAACTTGTAGATGTTCAGACGAAATTTAGCCACACAATAGTGAGGACACGGAGTTCAGCAGGGGCTCGAATCCGCATCCTTGCGGGGCACCGGTGTTGAGGATTATCATGGAGGAGATGCTGCTATCTTCACCACTTATGGTCCAAAGGTCAGGAAGCTAAGGATCCAGTTGCAGTGCCAAAACCTAGGCCTCAGAGTTTGGAGATTAGCTTGGTTAGGATTATAGAGTTGAAGGGACAGCTGTGGTCAATAAGTAGAAGTCTTACCTATGTATCCTTATTTTCCAGAAAATCCAGGGATGAGTGTTAGGGAAATGGCATCTCCTGTGGACCTGTTGCACCCATAGGCAAATAGCAAGGGATAGAGGAAGGCTGGCAGGCTAGAGTTGATGTGAACCATGATTAGCCTCTCAAAGCACTTCATAATTATGCTGGTCAGAACCAGCAGGCAGTTACTGAGGCACACTACATGTGTTTTCTTTGGTACTGGGATGGTGGTCGTCTTCTGGAAGCAGATGGGGACCTCAGATTGTAGCAAGAAGTTAAAGATGTCAGCGAATACTCTCGCCAGCTGTCCGCACAGGATCTGAATGCATGACGAAGGACTCCATCTGGGCCAGACGTTTTCCTCGGGTTCACTCTCAAGAAGACCGATCTTACAACTGCAGCGGTGACTGAGGGAAAAGGTGCATCTGGGACTATTGGGGCAGGTGACACCATTCCACTGGCACTGGCATAAAAAGCATTGAGTGCGTGAGGGAGGGATGTGTTTTTATCCACTCTTCTGTTCTGCTTCATTTTGTATCCTGTTATGTCACGTAGGCTTTGCAACAGGTGGTGGGTGTCCATGTGGTTAGTTTGGGTCTCTAACTTAGTCAAGTATTGTCTCTTAGCATCTCCAACGACCTTGCGGAGGTTGTATCTGAATTTCCTGTAAAAGTTTGGTCTGACTTGAATGCCATACATCTGGTCTCCAGTAGGCAATGGATTTCCTGGTTCATCCATGGTTTCCGGTTAGGGAACATACAGATTGACTTCTTTGGCACGTAGTTCTCTATGTACTTGCTAACGAAAGTATGATGGTGGTGGCATACTCATCTTTGTTGGCTGCTGAATTCTTGAATATGGACCAGTCCGCTGATTCCAAGCAGTCCTGCAGAAGCTCTTCCACTGCCTGAGACCAGCACTGTACTACTTTGTGCTGGGTCAAATTTCAACTTCACAGCGTTGGAATCTGATTTTCCAAAGTGCGAAATGGAGCGGTAGGCATCTTTGTTGGTTGTATAACAATGGTCAAGGATGTTTGGCCTCCTGTGGGATGGGAGATGTGTTGATGGTATTTGGTAGCACCCTTTCGAAGTTGGCCTGGTTGAACCACTGGCTACAATGAATAAGGCCTCGGGGATATCCCCACTTGCCTTGTTCAAACAGATGCCTATTTTCCAAATGTTTCCAATGTTGTAACGGATTATGCAGCACTAAATTCAAAGCTACACCTCTATTGCAGTGTGCTTACAAAGCAAACTAAGAAAATTCTCAGGACTCCAGCCAGGGATGATATTGAAGGGTGGCTGCGACACATATTCTAAAATTATATTTTATCTATCTACTAGCTGATCCAGTACAAAATACGGTATCAAACAACCAAAGAGTCACCTTTAAAAATTAAACTAACACATTTTTGACTTCAAGTACATCAACTCGGAGGCATTTTACCCACAAAGTAACAGAATTGAAGCAGCAGCTATGTGCCGAGGATGTTATTTAACTATTTATTTAACCAACAATGATTGATAAAGGAGCCCTTGAAACTGGAGATTCTTCTGATACTGGTTTGGTAAGAAGAAATAATTTCAAAAAAAGGAAGTAAATCACTACAGCTCATTCACACGTATGAGAAATTTATCAACTTTCAGGTACTTACGTGCAATGGGTGGATCTTAATATCTCAAAGAAAGAAAAAGATTAGCATTCATATCCCACTTGTTACAATCACCAGACGTATCAAAGTGCTTTACAGTCAAAGACACAGTTTTGAAGTATAATCACTGTTGGGATGTAGAAAATGTGTCAGCCAATTTGAACACAGCCAACTCTCTCAAATAGCAATATGAGTGTAATCAGATAATCTGCTTATTGTGATGTCAATTGATAGATAAATGTTGGCCTGCTTTTCAGTGTAATGGTGCTATTGTGCTTTTACTTTCACCTGAGCAGGCAGGCAGGACTTTGATTTGACATCTCATCTGCAAGATATCATTCAGCACTCCTTCAGTACTGCACTGGGGTGTCAATCTTGATTTTTACATTCAAGCTACGGAGTGGAACTTCAAACTTTGTCACTCAGAGGCAAGAAAATCCAACTGAGTCAAGCTGGCAATGGTCCAATACTGATCTGTTTCACTTTGGAGGAAAGGGGATCTAAATTATTCACATCTATGTCTTTACAAAACATTTAAGAAACAAAACTAGGGAATTAAATTAATGGTCAATATGTTTAGTAGAGACTGTAATGATACGTGACATGAACATGATTTAATGGCTCTAGCAGCAACCCTGACCATCAATGGAATGCTATATTGTGAAGAACAGGATAGCTACTGATGGCAGCTTCACTTGGGCTCTTGTGATGCAATGGTAGCATTTGAGCCAGGAGCCCCATTTCAAGTGTGTAAATCATCTGAATGGTTATTTCAAAAATAGTTCAAATTCCAAAAGATGCTATCAGAGCAGCAGAAAGGACATTGGAGGGATAATAGTAAAAGCAGGATGAGCAAGGAAGGCATTTTTTCCTAACTTTAGAAAAGCACAGACTTCAACACAATTTGATCAGTCAATTTGATCAATTAGAATCAATCTGAGTTGACAGGTGATTCAAACTACCTAGTTTAGAGAAGACAAGAAGTTATATATGCAAGTAGATTTAGATGCAAAGTACTTCTTTTTACAGAGAATAATTGATTATCAAGGGACCTAGGTGCCCTTGTACATGAATTACAAGTGGGTATGAGTTACTGGGAAGGAAAATGAACTATTTGCCTTTATTTCAAGAGGAATGGACTATAAAAGTAGTAAAGACTTGTTACAGTTGTACAGGGCAATTGTGAGACTGCATCTAGAGTACTGTGTACCACATTATGATCATAGCTGATGGTACTAGTGGACAAGTCATAGAGGACTGACGCATGGAAAAAGGCTCTTCAACCCATCAAGTCTATATCACCTAAATATTATAAATCCATGTTCCAGCCCTTAGCGTTGTATGCCTTGGCATTGTAAGTGCACATCTAAATACAACTTAAATTTATGAGGGTTTCTGCCTCCATCCCCCTCACAGGCAGTGAGTTCCAGATTCCCACCACCTTGACTGAAAAAGTTTTTCCACACATCTCTAAACCTTCTGCCCCTTAAATCTATGCCCTCCCGGTCATTGATCCTTCCACCAAAGGGGAAGTTCCTTCCTTTCTTTCTGTCTATGCCTTTCAACTTTATACATCTCAATCACGTACTCCCTCAGTCTACCCAGCTTTAAGGAAAACAATCCCAATCTCTCTTCATACTTAAAATTCTCCAGCCTAGGCAATATCCTGGTAAATCTCCTCTAACTTCTGCAGTGCATTTACATCCCTCATATAATGTGGATTCCAAAGTTGCACACAAAACTCTAGTTGTGGCCCAATCAACCTTTCATACAGTTTCAACATCACCTCCCTGCTCTCAAATTTTACGTCTTGGCTAATAAAGGCAAGATTCCTATTTGCCTTCTTAATCACTTCATCCACCTATCCTGATACCTTATGGGACCAGTGTAAATGCACCCCAAGATTCCTCTGATCCTCAGTGCTTCCTATGATCCTATCATTCCTCATGTATATTCTTGCCTTGTTTGTTGTACCCAAATGCATCAGCTTATCCAAGTGAACTCCATTTACCACTGATCAGCCCACCTGACTAGCCTGTCTATACCCTTCTGTAATCCAAAGCTATCCTCACTATTTACCACCTCACCAATTTTCGTATCAGCCCTGAGCAACCCTCCTACATTCAAGTCTAAATTATTTATATATACCACAAACAGCAAGGGCCACAACACTGATCCCTGCAGAACCCTAGGGGACACAGACTTTCGGTCACAAAAACACCCCTTAATCATCATCTTCTGTCTTTTTTTTATTCCCTCATAGGACATGAGTGTCGTTGGCTAGCCAGCATTTATTGCCCATCCTAGGTGTCCTTTAAAAAAAGGGTGGTGAGCTGCCTTCTTGAACTGCCACAGTTTACATGCTTTCGATTGACCCACAATGCCCTTAGAAAGGGAATGCCAGGATTTTGATCCAGCAACAGTGAAGGAACAGAGATATATTTCGACGTCAGGATGGTGAGTGGCTTGGAGAGAAATTTGCAGGTGGTGGTGTTTCCATGTATCTGCTACACTTGTCCTTCTAGCTTGGAATGTACTTCCGAAGGATCTTTGGTGAAATTCTGTCACTCAATCAACTGTGAATCCAATTTGCCAAATTTCCTTGAATTTCAAGGGCCCTTACCTTTGCTCTCAGTCTCAATTAGCAAATCCTTGCTAATAGACCATAGCAAAAGTATTGCCATCATTTACATACCTGGTCACCTCTTCAAAAAATTCAATCAAATTCAATCAGAGATGACCTCCCCTTAACAAAACCATGTTGACTGTTCTAGATTAATCCTTACCTCTAATTGCAGACTAATTCAGTCCCCTCAGAATTGTTTCCAATAATTCTCCCACCACTGAGATTTGACTGACTGGTGTGTAATTTCCTGCTTGTCTCTTGCTCCCTTCTTGAACAACAGTACCACATTGTCTGTCCTCTAATGCTCCTGCACCTCTCCTGTAGCCATACAGGAATTTAAAATTATTGTCAGTGACCCTGCTATTTCCTCCCTTGCGTCACTCAACATCCTGGGTTACTTCCATTAGCCCTGGAGATTTAAGTCTGCTTTTAATCCTGCCAGGTCACGCAGACCACCCTCTCCGCCTATGCTGGGCTCTTTAAGTATAGTATAGCTCTCCCTGACTTTGATACCTAGTGAACATCGACACAAAGTATTCATGTGGAATCGTATCCACGTCCTCTGACTCCAAATACAAATTACCACTGTGGTCCTTAGGGGATCCTACTCTTTCCCTAGTTACACTTTCACCTTGAAGTTATTTCACAAATACATTATGATTTTCCTTTAATTTATTTGCCATTGTTCTTGCATACTTTTTTTAAAATTGTCCTAATTTCCTTTTAAAGTTTCCCCTCGCACATTTGTCCTCCAGTTAGAAGGTCTGCTGTTGTGAGCCCTTGGTATCTGCTAGAAGCCTCTCTTTCGTCTTTATCCAATTCTATACATCTCTATTGTCCAGGATTCACAGAATTTGTTGGTCCTTTATCTTTATTACAAGATGTTGGCCCTGTACTATCCCTGTTTTCTTCTTGAATGCGTTCCACTGCTCAGACACAGATTTACCTAAACATATCTGTTCCCTGTCAACTCTGGCCAAATCACACCTGATCTTATCAAAAATTGGCCTTCCCTCAGTTTAGAACTTTGATTTGAGAACTATTCTTGCCCTTTTCCATATTAGTCTTGAATCTAACAGAGTTGTGATTGTTGTCTTTAAAATGCTCCCCCACTGATACTTTAGCCACTTGCCCAAATTCATTACCTAAAATTAAATCCAGGACAGATGGATAGATGTATAGATGGAGTAGATAGCCAGTGACTTTCTCCCTAGGGTGGAGGTAGCTATTACGAGGGGGCATAGTTTTAAAGTGAGTGGAGGTAGATATAGGGGAGAAGTCAGAGGTAGGTTCTTTGCTCAGAGAGTGGTAGGGGCGTGGAATGCATTGCCGGAGAGGGTAGTGGAGTCGGCCTCATTAGGGGCATTTAAGCGGCTATTAGATAGGCATATGGATGATAGTCTCAGGTAGGGGTGGAGGTTAGATAGACCTTAGGTTTAGGGTAAAAGTTCAGCACAT